AGTGCAATTTTAGAAGTCAAACCATCACTACCATATTTGAGCAGTTTATATGAAATCTGGCAGTTGTCAATGTATGTGCTTCCTCTCTGGTTCAAAAATAAGTCTTGAGAGATGACTCCTTACTTTAGTAATGTATAATCACATTACTATTTATTCTTAAAACATAAATATTAGTCCAGATTTCTAAACATGATGTCAAAGGGCTGAGAGGTTCCTATATTATTCTTCACTGTTGATCTTTTCGGAGGGCAATAATTTACTAGCCCTATGTGTTCTTTTTTTCTCGGTAAATTTCACCAGACCCTTAACTTGAGATGTAATCGAAGAAGTTCTCTTCATGGTATGGTATAGTAGCCTTAGCCCTTAGTAAATTCCAGTGCTTGTTCTATGCAATAATTCTAAAGATTTTGTTGTGCCACATTGGGCTTGGTATTACCTTATATTGTATGAATGGGTAGTAGGTTGCTTTGGGCCCCTTAACCTTCTGTGCGCACTCAGTTCATTGGTTACTGTAACAGCATAAATATTTAGGATAATTGCCAAACACATACCCGTTGCAGTGTGCTAACTTCAAGATTTGTTCCTGCATGCACAGTTGCACACACATTTCCATGATCACCTTTTGGTGGAAATCATATATTCGTTTTACCTGGAAGACAAGCTACCATACGTTATAGTTTCCAATATAATCATAATTGCAGAGAGATCAGATTAGTAAATCTTTTGGAAACTCTGATTGCAATTCTTCTCCTTTAATATTCTATTCCTAGATAAACAATTAAACAAAACCATGTGCCTTAACAATAAGCAGAACAATGTTATCTGAAGTCTGTTGACAGCATATTGAGTCTAACACTTGAACTTTCAGGAGATGTTCCCCGAGTATGTGGTCAGTTGGCTGTCTCCAGAGCTTTTGGAGACAGGAATCTAAAATCACTATTGAGATCAGAGCCTGATATAAAAGTCGAAGACATAGATCACACTGCCGAGTTACTTGTCCTTGCAAGTGACGGTCTTTGGAAGGTGTGGCATGTTATTTCAAAATTTGTCCAAATGGCCAGGATATAGCCAACCGGAAGCATATCCATGGCTGCACTCTTAATACTTTTCCTTTTATCGACTGTACCAGGTGATGAACAATCAAGAGGTGGTCGATTTGGCCAAAAGGTACAAGGATCCCTATGCTGCTGCCAAGCAATTAACCGCCGAAGCGCAAAAAAGAGAGAGTAAAGATGATATATCATGCATTGTTGTTCGGTTCAAGGCGTAAATCAGTCGCAGGCGGACTCACGTATTTTCATCGAGAGCAGAAAAACGAGTAAATTAGTCTGCCTGACGATGGTAGTGATAATCCGATGGATGAATAATTACTGGGGTGTTGGCTGTAAATGATTTGTCTGCTCCATTGTAAAGTTCATATATAAATATGCTAGGATTATTTTGGTTTGGCGATTTCAAAGGTACAGGTGTGAGGACCCGAGAGCTACTAAATAGCTATCATCTGTAAATAATGGGCGTTGAATTTGTAAGAGTAGACTGAGCAGAAGACACTTGGATAGTTCCTAAAGAATTGCAAGGTACTCTATATTGTTCAGAAGAAGGTACTCTATATGTTCAGAAGGTTCTACAGGTGTGCTTGTGCTTGTATTCAATCCTAACAAGGTGGAAGAGGCAAGAGCTGGATGTTACATGGTGGATTGGTGGTACACCGGTACATGGAGAAGATGGGCGATTCCTCTGCCCTTTTGCGCACATCACAATTACACACTGCAGATATAACCACCATCAAAGACTCACCGTACCAGGTGACGCCTGGTTTTGCTTGTAACTCATATCAGAACACGTGCAGAAGTTTTGATTTGAGTTCGATATAGCCTGTAAATACCCATCACGGCCGCAAGTTTTCTGAGTCTGACCCTCGTCAACCGGTCACATCGTGACCCAGAAGCGTGCAATCATCGAGGGCTTGTTGGGTTAATCTTCTATTTCTAGTATAGCCGAGAGGATCGAGGAAAATTGAGGGAATAAAATCCTCAAATCCAAAACCCTCCTCAATTCCATTCCAATTCCCTCGGATTAGAGCTAACCGAGCAAGCCCTGATAGAGTCACAATGGCAACAAAAAGTTTGATAGTCCATACAACTAACAGAATTTGGCTCACTGTAAATTCAAACGCGCAAAATGAATCTAGCTAGACTCAAAATAAGGAAAAAGTCTATATAACCTCTAATGTGTCTAGGGTTGTCTACATAACAAGTATAAAAACAAGTATTGTGCATATTAAACTTTGGTAAACCAGACAAAGAATATCTTAGTTGGTTTTGCTAAGCAGTTTTGCTTACGTGGCGCTCCAAACTGGCTAGCTTCGACAGTGTGGCGTCCAGGCCTGCTTGTCAGCTCGTTGGATGCCTGCTTGTCAGCTCGTTGGATCATTGCAGTTTTGTTAAGTATTGCTATCTCTAACGTAAAAAAATTACACCCTAGATTCCAATCATATCAACTAACCTAGTAAGCTAGACTAGAAAGGTTAGAGAATGCAAACTCCCGCATCGATTTTTTCCTGAGATATCGAGAAGCTCGTGCTTACCCCCAATCCTTGTTGGAACCCGTCCCAAGAATGACCTCGTAAGGGCCAAGCCCCTGATCGGATAACTCCTTGGATCGCCCATGGGTCTTCTCCATGGGCAATTAGGTCTTTGTGTTGGCTTTCTCCCATATTGCTACCCATCGTCTTCACTATCGAGCTTTCGACAAAAATGCCACGAGCCCCATTCCCTTGGACAATCTAGGTGGCCACTCCACACGTCCGAGGGTCTCACAAGACAAAAAGGCCCTAATGTTTAACTCTTGGTGCACACAAGCACCGATAGCTTAGAGGTGTGCAAACATCGCTAAACACTAAGCCTAAACCTAGAGCAAGCGCTAATGTGGCCTCTAAATAGCTTAAGTACTACGATTAGCCCTATTACTATTCATCTAATCTTTCCTTAAACAACTTTGGTGTCTAGAACACTAATGGATTAATCTCAATTCACTAGCAACTTTTCTTAGCTCCAACTCACTCCATTTGGCTGGTTGGGGTATATATAGTCCCAAACACACAAACAAGTCGTTGGACTCGAAGTCTCGAACTACACAAAAGCAGTGAGCATCGGAGAGCTCCGGTGACTCCATCGGAGAGCTATAGTGCCTTTCCATGTAGACTAGTTGTTAGCCGATTATTGGAGAACTTAATCTCCAATTGGGAACAAAATTTCGGTACACCACTGGAAGGTAAGGTGCCACTGTTCCTCTTCAACCCATTGTCAGTTCAGACTTCTAAGATCCGGTGCTCCTTCACCGGAGAGCTCTAGTGCCCTAGTCTCAGCACACTGGGTTTCGCGTCTTCTCGTCATGGTTTTCTATTTGATGTCTTAAGCTTGTTGCTTGTCTTCTAGGGTCTTCATGGTAGCTCTTGTCCTTTGCTTGAGGTGTTCATCACTTGATCTTCATTGTCACCTTGCTCAAGTCCATTCTTAGATCTATATAGGACTAAAACCTTGTATACCAGCAAACAAAATTAGTTCCATGTTGTCATTCAATCACCAAAATCACTAATGGCTCTTGTTAGGTGCTGTTTTTCTTTTAGTGTGGTGCAACATGTATGTCCTTGTTGCGCCATAGATGAGGGATGGCGATCCATATTTTGAAAACTTTTAGTTCACAGGAGAGCTGCATGGAGCAACCACTCAGATAGAATATTCCCTCCATATAATGGATGAGCCTGCAACCAAAAAGGAACTAGATAAGGTCGTCCATATTTTCTAATCTTGGTTATTAATAAATAAATTAAGGATTAGTAGGACTTGTTTGATAGGGCTTCTGGAAGCTCTCACAAATGGCCATCCAAGAAACGACTCTAGGGAAAAAGCCCGGAGGAGCCGGAGCCGTTTTCCTACTATACGGGCGGGGCCGTGAAAACTTGGCTTCTCTCTACTCCTCATAAACCTGGCACAAATTATAACAAAACTACCACTGGAGTAGTTTTTGCCAAACATTTCCCAAAACGATTTCAGCTCCATAAGAGAAACTGCCTCCACGAGAGGGGAACTAGAGATGCAGCCCTTTTAGGATGAGTTGGAGCCCCGCTAAACTAACCCTTAGTGTATTATATCAGTATTTAGTAATTATGATGAAAAGATTAGTTTTGATTATTGCTACTATATTGATTAGTGTAAGATTTGTGTGCCAATTAGGATAGCAGCAGTGCTAATTAACATATTTATTTTGATATTAGTAATTATCATGAAAAATTAGTGTTAGTGTATGCCCCTCCTTTCCAAAATAACTATTCTCGAGAAATCAAACTTTTTCAATTTAGCTAACTTTATAGAAGATAGTATTAATATTTGTAATACTTATTATGCTATTAGTATTTTTATATAATTTGACCAAACTTAAAAATTGACTCCTCGAAAAATAACATGTGTAGTTATATTTCGGGATGTATGATATAAGTAATCGAATTATTATCGTCTCATCCACTCGTCCATCAAACCAAAAAAAAAAAATAGCACGTCTCATTCGTCGAATCAAACATGCAACTTGAATAATCCTATCTCAAACTACATAGATGACCATCTCCAATTCAACCTTGCCTCAAACCATACACACCCTGGCTGAGTGGCATTGGGCGATGGTGTTTTAGGAAGCTCAAGAGTCAGGGCCACGTCGCCCCTCACATTACCCTGGCGTTTTTACTATAACTCCCTCCATTTCACTATTATCGTCAGGAGTAGAGTAGAGTACAAAGAATTCTGATACCTGCTCGTGCAGTGCAGCCGTATGCCTTGTTGGAAGGTGTATATCTATTTAGTAGAGGTCGAATATGAAAATATACATTTGGGTATGTACACACGCACTCTAGCTATCACTATATATATGGACTGGATGCCGAGTCGGCACTGGGCAGTGCGCGTCCCTTGGCATTCCCGACCTCAGCTCGCCGCGGGTGCGAAAAGATGACGCCGCGGCGCTGGTTGGGGCGGTTCCCCTTGCCGGCTGAGCTCAGGCGGCACCGTTGCCCTTGCCCACGGCGACCGGACGCACCCAGCCGCGGCGAGAAGGAGCAGGCCGCACCCGCCGGCTGCCGTGAACCCAAGGTCGCCGGCGCCGCCGCGCCAGAGAGACCTCGACGAGCCATCACTGTCACTGGTAAGCAGAAATGATGCATCAGTATATACTGCCTCCTTCCCTCTCTCTCCTCATCTTCGTCATGTCGTTCTCAAATCTCAACTTCGCATCTCCATGGGCACTGCCCGTGCCCACTGCCCTTCTTCCCCTGCTGTAACAGTGTAATCTGTAAACTTTCAGGTGGCGCCGGTGCTGATGGAGGCCGGCGCTCGCGCAGCGTTCTGCTTCTGCCTCAGGGATCTCCATTCCGGAGCACACGCCCTCACACGCTAGGTCGTCGTGTCATGCCGCCACTGTTTCCATCCAGCTGCAACTGCAATAGCTTTGAAGTTGTCGATGGCCTCGGCAAGGAACGCCAACCAGAGGAAGAAGGCTTCTCTCATCATAGCGAGAGAGCTGTCTACAAGGAATACCTTCAGGTACAGAAATGCTATATCGCTTGTGATCTGGTCCATCGAAATCGAAGCACACACTCACTTGAGATCTAGTCCCGGTTGGGAACTAGCTCTGCTCCCGGTTTCCCAACCGGGACTAGCAATTCGGGACTAAAGATGTTGTTCTTTAGTCCCGGTTTGTCACAATCGGAACTAAAGATCCTCCCAGCTTTAAAAAAATAATGCCTCCCACCACAGTGCCCCGTGAGATTCGAACCCAAGACCTCATGTGATCACAGCAGTATTTTTACCATTCCCACCTACACAACACATCTAACAATGAACGTGATGCTTTACTTTTGAACTCCATCCGGGGCCTTTGTTTCGGTTGGTGTTACTAACCGGGACTAAAAATAGTAACATCAACCCGGACTAAAAGGTTTTTAATCCCGGTTGGTAACACCAACCGAGAGAAGGTTCACTTTTAGTCCCGGTTGGTGTCTCCAACCGGGACTAGTAAGAAGTTGCCGTTAAGAGAGACCTTTAGTCCCGGTTGAAGACACCAACCGGGACTTAAGGTCTCTCTAGTCCCGGGCACAAAAAATACCAGAACTAGAGCCTATTTTTACCTCAGACGAAAAGTCTATTCTCTACTGGTGACTGTTTCGCCTCGATGCAAATGCAATAGATGCATTCGCTGTGACTACCGGACAATATTTATCTGAATCATATTCGTAGCCCTCTCTACTACCCTAGTTTTACTGACTTTATTTATGCAGTCCATCCATCGAGAATATCGCGAACAAGATTTACCTGAGGGTCTCATGTCAGTACCCCTTTACAAGCACCAGGTGAGTTTCAGTTGTTAGCTACGTACGTACTCCTTAATTATAGGGCAAATGATTTGAAAAGACAAATAAAACACCATAAATTTTGGACATGAATAAGTCAAACTTAATGTATGAAACTTATATCAGTAGCTCGATTCACATCTCACAAATACTTCAGTACGATATCAATTTGTAGCAGTTGTTAATGTGTTTCAAAAGAAATTGGTGGTCAAAGTACGCTTAAGACTTATCCAAATCCTAATAGGCCTTATAAAAGAAGCAGATGGAACACTAGTTTTCATACAAGTGCGCACACTTTACTCCTATAGGAAATAGTAAATTCATCTAGATTGTTGCAAGTTAGACTTTTTTACTTTTGCCTGAAAATTTTCTCGGCGAAGAAAAAAATAGAAACCCGATTTTCACGTTTATCGGTTCGACCTAGTACCGCGTAAAATTTGGGCCCATTTGAATTGCCCGCAGCAAAAGCCCATTAGAGATGAGCTGGGCAGAAGCCCATGCTGTTTCCTTAACCTTATTAATTAATTTATTTTCCCTTCTCTCGATCGTTCTCCGGGCTCCGGCAGCCGCCGCCGCCGCCGCCACGCACGCACGGAGCGCTCGCGTCGCCGACTCGCCGTCTTCTCTTCCTCCCCATCCTTGCTCAACCACGCAAGGGCTGGGGCTTTTTCCTTATCATCTCCACGGCCTTGCTTGAGACCGCCGCGACCATTCCGCGGCGGCTCGGCTGTGCGCCGACCTCCGCCTCCCACGCTGCGGCCTGCCAGTGCCTGCCCCTCGTCGTCGTCGTGTCCTGATTCGAAATTTTGTGCCATCCACGTGTCTACTACCTCGCCTTTCAACTTTTCCATGGTTATTTGGATTATAGTCTCTCGAGATGTATTTAGTTGTTTGTTTACCGCTTCTATTTTTTTCGTTTGCACGTTGAGGATTAGAGGTTCATCCTGAGCATGCTGGACGCTTCGAAGTCCAGCTCGGTTCTATTTTCAGCTTTAGGTACTTTGATTTACTATATGCATGAGTTTAGGCTTTTGAGCCACATGAAATGAAATTCCAGGTGGGCCGGGGGATCCTCCCCCGTTGACTATCAAAAAGAATTCAGCATCCACATTCTCCCCTCCTTTTCAAACCATTTGGTGTATTGGATGAAAGTGCAATATTCTCACATTTCTACATATTATTATGTGTGTTTTTATGTTAGATGGGTTGAAGATGGTCTAGCGAAATTTCTTTTCAAATCAAGGAGTTTTTATTTAAATTTTGGCTTGAAGAAATCGAGAAAATTGATAGAAATCCGATAAACACGTTTATCGATGACCTCTGTTTTTTTCCCAGACCGATAATGTAAACTGTGGCCTACATATATATAAAGTTCTGTACAGATTAGCTGCTTAAGTTCGACATTTTTAGATTCATTATGAAAAATATTTCATAGTACATAACTCTTTGCACTTAATGATAATATTTTTTAAAACATATTGGTAGTCAAATGCCACATTTATGACAATGCCAATGTCATAATGTACTTGCAGACCATTAATATCTTTTTTACTGGACCCTTAATCTTTTATAAGTATGATAAGGCAGATTCAAAGCCAAGTAGTCAAATTGAGAATTGTCAAACATTTTGTGACATGCTAAGAAAGGTAACGATTTATCTAAAGGCATACAAATTCTCCTTAATAAAGAGTATGACCTTTGTTAGCCAAGTTATACACGTTTGGTTTCTAAAGTTTAGGAATGTTGTGAAATTTAAGGACCTGTACGGTGAATTTTACTCTCTCTCTGTGTTTATTCCTGATACCTTATTCATTTGTATGATCATTTCCTGTCTCTCAAACAGAATGGCACTAGATTGGATGCTTTTCCGGGAGAACAGTTCACATTGTGCAGGTGGAATTCTGGCGGATGAGCAGGTCATTTCTGACTTTCAAGCTTATAGCCATTGATCATTATACCAGACCCCCTCTTTTACTAGCCACCACCTCTTGTAACAGGGACTTGGAAAGACAATAGAAGTGATTGCTCTTATTCTGAAGGAGAGGCCCCAGCAGTCCAAGTTCATGTCTATTGATTCAGATAGAGAAGCCACTGTTGTCAACAAGGAGCCCAAGGATGAAACATTGAACAAAATAGGGTTTATTATTAAAAGCTTAGTGGTATTGTTTCGTCAAAAACCAGCATGTCATGTCACTAATGTTAAGCCATATGTGGATAGAACCTCATCCATAGCCAAGTCAGCAGGAGGAACACTTATGGTGTGCCCAAAATGCATTCTGACACAATGGAATGAGGAGTTGTCACAGAAGATTACAAAGGATGCTGGGTTGTCTGTTCTTGTTTATCATGGATGTTCAAAGACCATGGACTCACAAGAGCTTACTAAGCATGATGTTGTAATCACCACATATCAGATGGTCAAGCAACACTTCACTTCCAGAAAAAAGGGAGTTAAGAAGAAACTAAGTGCATCAAATGGCCATAACAGCAACCCGATTGCCGGGGTACGATGGTTCAGAATTGTTCTCGATGAAGCTCATGAAATAAAAAACTGCGACTCTCTGGTGGCCCAAGCTTGTTGGGAACTGGAAGCTGAAAGGAGATGGTGCATATCAGGAACACCTATGCAAAATAAGTTTGGTGATCTCTACAGTTATTTGCGCTTCTTGAGATATAAACCATACTCTGAACACAGTTCATTTCGCTCTTTGCTAAAGAAGCAAAATTCTACATATGCAAGTCGTGGCAAAACAAAACTTGAAATATTGTTGGGAATAGTTCTTCTGCGACGCACGAAAGGTGAGATAATGTGCTTTGACTGCATGTGCATTTTTTGGGCCTGGGTTTAACCTAAAAACTGGGCGAAAATTTTTTATTTTTATTTAAAAAAAACTGTAGTGCACATGCAGTTCCGTGTCTTCTTTTTGACACTAGCTTTATGGTTATATATGTTTGCATTCTGCCTGCCTCTGAAGTGAGCATACTGTGGATGACAAATTAACTTCACCAGCTTCTCAGCTTGTTTTAAGTATAATTGTTTTTCATTTCTTTAGAACTAATTACAACAACTATGAAGGATATCACAAAATCTCAAGAAAAAAGGGTGTCATAAAACTGGAAAAACTGAATTAGGGAGATACATAATTAAAAGAATCTGATTAATTTCTTTTTTGTATGAACACTGATGTTAGGCGCATTGATTTTATTTGGATGTTGTTCTTCAGTGCTTCCTATATATGATTTTTCTTAAGGAACTTTCATATTTTTTTGCTTCTATCAACTTTGTAATATGCCCTTTCAATACCTGTGGCTTTACCTCAGTTCTTCATCCATTGTGCTGTTCTATCATTGATGGAACTTAAAATTTTTTTGCATATAGACACACGCATCGACGGGGAACCAATCATTAAATTGCCACCAAAGACAATTCAAAAGGGGCAGAAAGGGGCAGACTAAGGATGTCAATGGGTAAATCCCCGTCGGGTATGGCCACCCTAGACCCGTACCCGTCATAAAAATTTGAGACCGCCAGAATCCCCATACCCACTATGGGTGGGGAATTTTCCTCAGACCCATACCCGGCCGGGTAAATCATACCCGGTGGGTCACCCTTACCTGCCAATAGTTTATTTACGCACATAAAAATCAATAATTCAACAGCAACCACCAGTAACAGAGTGCATAAAATTAGACAAATAATAGCATATAATAATCTCTACTGCAACCACCGGTGACATAACACCATCACACAAAGTCATTCTGTCATAAGTCATTACATTACATAGCCAAAAGGGGTACATAAATAAATCTCCAAGTTCATTGCAGTGAGCATATATAGGACAACAATTCAACAAACATGCTGGTCGTTTATTGTCTTGTTGATGTGTTGGTTTCCTTCACTTGGAGTTGGAGACAACTTGCTTTGCTCAAAGTTCAAGTTCCTGTATGGCATGGTAGGCAGTACAACAAGAATAAGAGTTAGTACGTGTCTAGACTCTAGAATAACATAATAAGGGCACAATTACAACAGTGGTTTAATTTGAATATGTGCACACCTGGAGACCCTCTTGAATATCTTGGAGGCAAGACCAGAAGGTGGCGGCTTCTTTTTCCTTGTCAACTAAAAAGGAAAACCAGCAATTAGGATAAAATCAAAGTAAAGAGAACCAAACTACAAAACAAGAGAATGGACATACTTTTGTACTTGTTCCGCAACCAATCTTGTGAGCACATAAGAGCCTCTATCATTTTTGAAGTCAGCCTACTGCGATGCTCACTAAGTACTCTCCCACTGGTGCTGAATGCAGACTCAGATGCACTGTAGTGATAGGAATTGCATAAATATCCTTTGCTATCCTTCTCAGGGTTGGATAACGTACTCCAGCCACCTTCCACCAATCCAGCACCTTGAAACCCTTAGTTTCCAGAGATACCAGTTCATCTTCTAAGTAGCGATCTAGTTCTGATTTGAATCGCACAACAGATGGCCTTGTACTAGCAACTCTTGCACTAAATGAAGATAAGAACTCCATGTCTTCAGTTGGAGCTACAGCTGCTGCTGATTCGCTATTGTCACAGTCTTCTTCCACATGGTATTCAATCATCAATTCAGTTAACAGATCTATGATTTCAGCAACCTTATCCTCACAAATGTAACCAGTTGTACCAGTTAGCCACTCAAAACACATCAGCAAGCTCAATTTTTTGAGACGAGGATCTAGAAGGGTTGCAATACCCATCAGTCCTTGGATGTCCGACTAATATTTGTCAAATTTGGCTATCATGCTAACTGACATCTCTTCAATCTTTGTACTGCCACAAGTTGACCACTGTCTGATTTTCTTCCTAATCTCATAAATTTTTATGAAGTATATGTTGGCAGTAACATATTCAGTTCCAGAAAACAACAAAGTTATGTCATTGAACACTCGAAGCCGTTCTACAACATTAGCAGCAAAGTTCCATTCCTCCTCACTAGGCAAACATGTATATTGCTTATCTACACGACTTGCTCTAATGAAAACAGCTTAATAGGGGACTGCAACACTAAGCATCTTAAAGGTTGAATTCCATCTAGTCTTGCAGTCAAGGTTTATCTTATGATTCAAACTAACCTTAACAAACTTAGTTATCTCCTCAAACTTCTCTATCCTTTTTGGTGTTGCTGTCCAATAAGCCACACTTTCACGAATATTCTCAATAGCAGTTTTAATATGTTCTAGACCATCCTTAACAATCAAATTGAGAATATGAGCACAACAACGCATGTGTACTAGTTTCCCTTCATTTATAAGCTTACTTTTTCCAATCTTCCTCACCAAATAAGGGATTGCCGCATCGTTAGTTGTGCAGTTGTCAAGGGTAATTGTGGATATCTTCTCGTCAAGGTTCCAATCAACCAAAGACTCATATAGTTCTTCACCAATCACTTCAGATGTGTGAGGAGCTGGTACATAGATTAACCTATACATGTAACAACATATGTAATCAGATTTCAGATTGTAGGACATGTGCAAAAATCAGTAAAACATGTGCAAAAATTAGTAAAACAGATTTCAGGACATGTACCTCATGATAATGTTTCTCAAAGTCCAAGATTCATCGATGAAATGGGTTGTGACTGCCATATAGCCCCTTTTCTGGTTGTCAGACGTCCACACAGTCAGTAGTTATGGCCACCCTTGAATCAATACTAGCCATATATTCAATTGCTTTTTTCCTCTCCATCTCATATTGCATTACAATATTCTTCCTGAAAATTTTGAAGGAATATTAAAAAATGAATACGAAAATTACAATGGCAGCTGGCAGCAAGACCAAACAGTAAGTAACAAACCTTATTGTATTCCTAGTACCCATCTTGAATAGTGGCTGAAGCGCACTTGCAAACCTCCGGAAACCAGCATGGTCTACCATGCTCAAAGGATACTCATGTAGAATTATCATTGCAACAAGTTCCTTTCTAGCTACTTCTTGGTCAAATGTGTAGTTTTCAACTTGAACGGTATCTGAATCTGTGCAACCAAACCTCAAACAGGATTGTGACAAAGTCTTATTCCCTGCTGTCTTGATCTTTCTAAGTGTACACGACTTCAAATGATCATGTAAGTGCTTAGTTCCATGGTTTGTTTCACCTGATAGCTTCTTGAAACAATACATGCACTTTGCCTTTGTTGTGCCCATGTACTTAACTATCTTGAACTCATTCCAAACCACTGAGGTGAGCTTCCTCTTTGCACCACTAGCAGGACCATCTTCATCTTCTTCAATAGGATCTTCATCATCTTCTATTTCAATAGGCTCTGAGATCTGAACTGCAGTTTGTGAGCATTCACCTTCACTGCTAGTACTCATTTTTTCAATATGTATCACATAATAAGGCACATTCAACTTCAGAGTGTTCACGGTGTCGACGAGCTCGGGATCCGGCGGCTTCAGGCGGTCACCGTCCTCTAGGACCTCCACGATGTCCCTTGACGCCGGAGTGAAGGAGCAGGTTAGTGCGGGGAAGAAGGAGGCAAGGAGCGCTGAGCGCCTCTGTGTAGCTGCGCCTGCAAAGCATATGAACTATGAAGGGGAAGGGGAACTGGGGAATCACCGTCCGTTCACTCCGTTGACGCTTCCTTGCTCCGTCGTCGGCATGGCGCTGGGTCGGATGTGGCGACTTCCTGGCGCTTGGATTTGGAGGGATGCGATGCGAGACGAGGTCAGGAGGGGCCGAGGGGGCGCTATTGTTTTTTTGCGGCGACGTTGTTTTTTACAAGCAGTGTTTTTTTTCGGCGGCCGGCGGGGGATCTGGCGGGTGGGATAGGGTTGGGAGGGGTGGGGAATGGGGGATAAGATTATATCCCTAGGGTTTTACCTTATGGGGTGGTGGGCTTTTTTACTTTTGGGCCGGATATTTTTCACCCATGGGTTAACGGGTATGGGGACTGCTGGAACATACCCATACCCGCGTACCCGATGGGTGAAGGGTTTGGTCCATTTATATACCCGTGGGTAGTGTGTTTAGTCCATATTCAGACCCTAATAGAGTAAATACCCATCGGGTATCGGGTCACGGGTCCCCGTTGCCATCTTGAGGGCAGACCCAGTGCCGGAGGCTCCCACATGAGTGGGGTCTGGGGAAGGGATAAACCGAGACAAGCCTTTCCCCTGCAAAATCTGCGGAGAGGCTGCTTCGAACCCACGACCTGGTGACTCAGTGAGACAGCTCTCACCACTGCACCAGGCCTGCCCACTGCACCAAAGACAATTCAGATGAGAGAAATAATTTTCACCCCAGAAGAGCAAGAATTCTACTCGTGGCTTGTCCAATGCTATGAAGAAACATTGATGGTAAGTTCCGGTTTTTACTCCTTCAACTCATTATAATGTGTCAATAGATGCCTGTACTCAGTAGTATATGATCTCCAAAACACCCATTATATGTGGAGATATTTGTTTGGTATAAAGTGTCTAATTAAATCAAGTACATATCTCTTTAGATTTACCCTTACTATTCATACCACTTTTGATTCAAAAATCACAATACCTTTAATTAACAAGTCCTATCCAGTGTTCATGTCACTTTCAATAAAAGTTATGGTTGTTCCAGAACTTTGGGAACGAAATATCTGATGCTGATTTGCTGTTCACACTACAGGACTATACCTTTGATAAAATCCTAGCACTGTTGAAGGAACTTCAACTTGCTTGTGACCATCCTTGTCTTGTGAAAAGTCGAATTGATTATGAACAATGTTCTACAATATTCGAGAGAAGTTATGTCTCCTCGAAGATGAAAGCAATCATCGATATACTTAACTCAATTGTGAACAAGCACGCCTTTACTGAGAGCGATAGTAATATTGAATCAAGTACAATTGAATCAGCTCCTGAGAAGGTTTTAGTATTCTCCCAGTTCACCACGATACTGGACTTGCTGCAGCCTTTATTGAACTGCAATGGTATACAATTCAGGAGGCTTGATGGGAAGATGAATCGGAAAGCCAGAGACGAAGCAGTGAAAGACTTTAACAGAAACCCAGAGGTCCTTACTCCTTTGCTCTATTGTAGCAGGAATTTGAACTGTTTGAAAGACTTTAACACAAACCCAGACTTTACATTTCACCAGCTAATACATAGAACCATTTTTTGTTCTTCAGGTGACAGTATTGCTTGTGTCTCTGAAAGCCGCAGGTGTTGGCCTCAACCTGTTTGCTGCTTCACATGTCATCATCACTGATCCTTGGTGGAACCCTTTTATGGAGGATCAAGCAATTGGCAGAGCTCATAGAATTGGTCAAACCCGTCCGGTAACTGTGTACCGTTTAGTTGTTAAAGGCATGGTTGAAGAATTCGTTCTAAAGTGGTGGGTACATAGTACCTTACTATTCCCGACAATTTTATTTATAAAGTCATGGGCTATTCTTCTGCACAATGGGCATGCAAGTTACTGTTTTTGTGAATGTAACACATTTTACTAGGATCTAAAAGAGTAAAGGCAAAATGTTCAGGTTCACTTGTAATTTACAATCACAAAAAATGAAATTTGAATATATGCAAACCAGTGTCCTACTTTAATTTCTTTCCTCATTGTTCATAACAGTGTCAATTTAGTTAATAATAACAACACGTGCATTACAAACTTGTCTTTCTAACCCCCTCTCCTTTAAGTTTCTCGTTGAAAATGTGTGCGTATATTTTGTCAGGAGACGAAGAGAACCAATGTAAAATGTGTTTATGAAGGGGACATATTTAGCAGAAAGCTCACTAAAGAAGACGTCAAAGTTTCTCTATGGGTGACGAGGCAATCCTAAGATGGAGATCTCTGGCTACTTGCCTCACTGCCACCATATGCCGTCATTTTTGCAGTTGTAGTCTTGTAGATGCTGCCAGTGCGTTAATTGGTTGCTGCTGTGGCCTGTGCGCCGCTGTGTGCAATGTTGCAGCATTAGCTTGTGCAGATATGCCCAGACCTAGCTAATGTGTGTTCTGCATGATTGCACGGCCGTGGATGTTGTGGCAGGCCAGTCGTGCTGTTCCATAGTAGCTTTGGTTGTTCTAGTAATGGAACTCGTCACAGGTATTCAGGTTATTAGGCTTATTTTGTCTTCTCTGCATGAACTTTGTCAGAACTATGGTATCCGTAAGGGCCTGTTCGGTTGTCACAGATTGGACCCCTGGAATTATTCCAACCAGGAATGTTGTGCTATTTTGTACTATATTTGATCACCTGGAATGAATCCTGTTGGAACGATGGTTAAACGAACGATCCCTAAAGGAACTCTGGTGCAATCCTTGGCCAGAGTAAAAAGGATGCATGGTTGGCCACTTGGCCTGGTCGTGTTGTTTTGTTGTTTTGGACTTGTGGCATGGTATGGTATGGTATGGTATTCCAGAGCGCCATGCTAAGAGCAGCGAACTTGCAAGAACTACACATTCAGGACATTTGCTTTCCAGTGAAATTTCAGTCTCATGAACTGCATCACATCGATAGCACCAGGCGCGCACACAGCAATGACAGCATATCAAAGAGCTAGCTAACTGGAGACACAAGACACAGCAGCACGAGTTGAATTGAAGCACGGACCAGCGAGAACCAGGCGCGCTCAGAAGGCAGCAAGCACGGCGCCTCCGACGCCAAGGCCAAGCGCCAGCTTCACCGCGAGCCCGGCCGCGCCGGCCATCGACGCCGCCGCCGAGTTCTCCTTGGGCTTCGGCGCCGGGGAAGCCCCCGGTGCGGCGGCCGTGATGGCCACCTTCTGTCCCTGGCTGCAGTGCGACCCCACGGCGCACGCGAAGTACCTGGTGCCGGCCTTGTCGAACGTGACGGCCGTGTTGCCGCTCTGGTCCAACGACGCCGAGTTGTCGAAGCTGCACGCCTTGTAGTCCGCCTCCGACGGCAGCTCGTTGACGGTGTGCGGCGGCCCGTACGTGAACACTGCAGCGCCAAGCCGCCGGCCAATCAGCGGCGTGCATACAAACTCGATCAGATACAGTACGTATACACAGTATAGACAGGAAGGATTCGATTATTTGGGAGCTGGAGCTCACCGACGGTGTCGCCGACGCTGACGGCGTTGTTGGATGACCAGTCGCCGTAGTTCCCACTCACGGGCCACTGGATCGTGTAGTTCTTGGCGGCGGCGAGCTCGGCCACGGCGGCCATTGCCACGAGGGCGGCCAGAGCCTTCACCAGCAGCGCAGACATTTTCGCAGGACCTATGGAAGAGGCGCTGGAAGCTCTGCAGGGGAGTTGGAGAGATGCAGCTTGCAGTTACAAATGGTTAAGCTGGCATGCAAATAAATGGAGCTCTCCGTCGGGTGGTTGAACTGGATCGTGGATGACGACAAACAGGCTGCCCGTATCATGTGTCCCATTTGCATCGCCGCCAACAGAATGGCGTGATTATGCTAGTTAGTGCTTTGACACTTTGATTGATGAGCCCTTTGCTGTTATATAGTAAGAGATTAATTGTTCATGAGCGAGCACGACAGAGCTAGCGTCCTGTTCCTCTGGGCTTGTTTGGCTTATAAGCCATGTCTGAAAATACTATTGGCTGGTTTGGTGTGAGAGAAAAATATTGTTCGTTGACTGATAAGCCATGACTTATAAGCCAAATACGACCGAGCGAACATGATGTAGATTTGTTCAAACAGACATCAGCTGACAAGTTATTGTGTCTGTACTTAACTTTATGCATTAGTATACTCGTACTCTGACTGCGATCCATCTAATTATTGGAGGTAGTTGTCAGAGTTATCCTTTTATCAAGTTGTATGTATATAGGTTGCATCCCCCGCTAACCTCTACCATCTTCAGTAGCATGCATTATTCAGAGGTTGCTGCATTTTGAATGCCCGAACAACATTTGGGAGCTATTGTGGGTGCTCTACTTATATAATCTACGGTTGTTCCTCCAACTTCGAACCATGAACTGCTATTTTAAACGCTGACTAGCAAAACTGTCAGTGCGTTACAACAATGGAATGCAAACTAAAGAAGCAATGTGTCGGTTCATGATGATAGTGTTAGAAAAGATTAGTACAGTTCCTAGGTCAAGCTCCAAACAAACAAACAAAAACTAGAATCAACCTATCTCTATAACCAAACACGGGACTAGGTCCGTCCCATCTCATATTCTTTTTATGGAAGATTTTATTGGATGGAAAGGTCCATGAGTACAGCTAAGGGCACTAGGTTTGTCTAAATTGCTTCATTTTACGTGGTGGTCGCGCCTATGTTGATTGCTTCGTAGGTGTATTTTCAAAATTCTACTACTATAAGCCTTAATGTAGAAAACATTTAAGCTCTAAGAGGAGGGTGGAAACGAATGAAGGGAGGGTGGTACTTCGTCTATTTGGCTTCCATGATTTGGAGGTATGAGATTCATGCTTGAGTTAGGCAATTTTGCTTGAGCTCAAATCAAACAAGCCCTTAGTATATGACTGATTCTACCGGAAACAAATATTGTCACTAGGAATCCGAGCTCGTCGCCATGTGAGGGGAATTCGGTCTTCATATGAGGGGAATTTGAGGAAGGAATCCAGGCTAGCCGTTGCTATGCAGGGCTAGGCAAACCTAGCCAAACACCTCTGAAATAGAGAATCGTCCTGTCCCCGGTCATCTCACTCTTAAGTCCACAGCAATAACGTGGTTGTGACTTCTTTTCATTGTCGGGAGGGATTCATCATATACCTTGTTTTGGTTTTTACCGTTCACGATCACCACGGTTTGATATTATGTTTTCTTTACCCTTCATGGCGAAAATACCAAAATCCAGTAATTATAGTCATACAATTAAATGGGGCCCACAAGTAAGCAATAGAATTTTCTGGCATAAAAAGAGGGCAGGACTGAGGAAATCACCTCCCAACCTCCAGCACGTATGTGCAAATTGATTGACATAATTCATAAGCCTTGTTTAACAAGTAGTAATATTTTCAAATAAAAAATATATTTGAGCAAAAAAAATCACTCATCTACGGAAATCCCTAGAATTTGCAAATTCCTACTCCCTCTGTCCCTGAATAAATAGATTCCTGGAGTTGTCTTAAGTCAAACTTTTTAAACTTTGACTGAATTTCTAGAATAAAATGTTAAGATTTATGGTCAAATTAGTATTATTAGATTTATCATAGAATATATTTTCATAAGGTGCTCTTTTGTATTATAGATGTTGCGACTCTTTTATATAAAGTTAGTCGAACTTAAAAAAGTTTGACCGACACGGATTCTAGAAATCGCTTTATTTTGGGGACGGAGGGAGCACTTAAACTTCACCAGAACTTTGAACTCTGATTGTTAACATACCGTCCAACCGTCCATGGCCTCTACCATACCCAACACACTTTGATTTGCACATGCTACACTATTTTCCATGCGATGAATTTTGCATAGTAGAATATAATCTAGTCTAGTTTAATTTAAATCAAATTGACTGGAGGCTTTGCTTTCTCATGATTAAACATGGAAGAGATAAATGACTTGAGCCGGAGGTTACTGGAGACGAACGCGTAAAATTGTATTTACGTCTTCATTGTGGCGAACGCGTGCTACAGTCTGCGTGTGTACCTTTACCTCTCCGTACGCTTGAGCTCAAACCCCAAAACCCCAGCGGCCAGCAAAAGCGGCGGCGGCGGCCAGGGGCTGACGAACCCGCCGCGAGAAGCTCCGGTTGGCACCCCAACCAACGGCATGGGTGGTATTGGCGTCAGCCCGTGCGATCTGGACAGGGAGTTCGCGCCCCAAATCGCCCAGCTCGTTGCCACGCCTCCTCTCCAATCCGCCGAGGTACTTGCTTTCTTTCCGGCCCCTTCTGTACGACTAGCCTGTTTGCTTGAGAATCCCCTGATTGATCTGTCTCGTGACATCAAAGCTGTTACTCTGGTCGAATATTGCCAAATTTAGGCTTTTCATGGCGTTAGCGTGGTATATTGGCCTTTCATGGCGTTGTTGGTGTGATATCTTAGGCTTTGATAGCGTTGATGCAAAATTATGAGAGGGGGGCTATATTTGGGTGTTAACATCAGTGGTTGATGCAGTGCTAATATGAGGTAATGAATGTGCTGCCTTTTGTTTCTTCATCAGGAATACTATGATGAACTCATATGGTCCAAGAAGCTTGATGGCATTAGAGTGAGCTACAGTAGCAAGCATGGGAAAGGTATCCATTACTGAGCAATTACTTTAGAGGGCAGCCATCCAGTCTGCTCTTCTCGTGTAAAATTGGCATAAGGTAAAAGCTGGCAATTTCAACAAACCGGTTCTTTCAGGTGTTTGTGCAAATAGGGACTTTGCTGAAGACGACCTTGTTCTGAAGGACCAAATGTTGGTCGGTGCTCAGGACAGCCTTAACAAGGTTCTCTCATCTGATTGAAAGTGGATCATTCATTGTGGCTTTTATGTGAACTGTTTCTCTGAAGTGTTAAGTCGGTTTTATGTGCCTTTTTTGCAGATTGACTGTGTTGTGTGTAGTTACTGCTTCCGCTTCATTGGTTCTATAGAGTTCCAAATTGGGCGTAGATTGTATTTGCAAAGCCTTGGTGGTAGTGTTGATGGCACTACTGAGAGACATTGCCATGGGAGTGATGCTGGGTCAAGTACTGGCTGCTCTGGTGCATCAAGTGGGAATAGCAATGCTGTGCCACAAGAGGTCATGATGTCACTTATGGATGGTAATATGTCATTGCCTTTAACTGATCAGTTCTGTCTGCCATCAGTTGTTGCTTGCCCTGGTGGATGTGAGGGAGAACTCTACTGCAGGTTTGTGTTCCTAACAATTTGTGAATTCTTTTCGATTTGCAAAGTGACACAACAGATGATTATATAGGCCTGAAAACTAACTTCTCTCTGCAAAACATATGATATCTGTTTCTCCTCACTATTTATAGTCACTTCAGACCTAATTTCCTCGTAAAAAACTTGTGGCTATAGAACATAGAACATACTCTTGTTATTTTTTGGATAATTCATATAAATGTAATCTTGAGAAGAAAACCTTGGTTAAGTGATATTGCAATTTGTACAGCCAATCATGTGCGGATTCCGATTGGGATTCTTATCACTCTTTGCTGTGTGCTGGATCCAAGACTGAACCATTACGGAAATCTGCCCTTCAGAAATTTGTAGGGCATGCTAATGGTAAGCCAGCACTAAATATTTATGATCTGCATCATTATGGCTCAACGTCCAGTTTCCACCTTTCATTTAAGTTGTAAACCTATTTTCTGATGATAGTTGTTCTTTATTTCAGGAACCAATGATATTTTTTTGGTTGCTGCCAAGGTAAGTGACAGAAGTATGCATACTATATAGTATGTAGGCATCCAAACATCACTCTAATTGACCATGTTTGTTTTCATTTTCTAATCTTGTTCAGGTGATATCTTCTTTTTACATTTGATTCGAAAAGTGCAGTTTAGTCTTGGTCAAATACAAACAGAAAATTGGGCATCAGACTTAAGAGCTGATATCAGTCACCAATATCTGTCAAAACTGTGAACCTGCTATAGACCAATGCACCAGAACAGAACATATCATGATAAGACAATGAATGATATGAATGTCAAGAATGCTAAAAAACAACAAAAAAAAAGGAATCACTTTTTGTTTCCTTTTTGTCTTCTATCATTCTAGGTTGCAATCCAGTAATATTTCTTGATTCTCATGCACAAACTTCTGCTTTTATATGTCAGGCTATCACTTTCACCTTGTTGAGATATAGGAAACTCAAAAGACAGCATGGGTCTCATGAATCAAGCTCTTCGCTCCTCATGGAAGCCTGGAAACCACTTTCGATGGGCTTCAAAAAGAGGTAACAAGAATGAGCTTGCGTGACTTATCCTCAGACGACCTGGAGTTGTTAGTACATCACTCAGTGTTACGCGATGCAGCTGTTGTCAAGCATGATATTTGTTGTTCGCTTTTTGTGTGCGATAGTAAAAATTCAATGGAATAGTATAACCTACAAACTTTCTTTAATAGTCAATGACATTCTCATGGCAAGGCTTGAGTCTTTATTCTTCACATGTGCCAGCCAGAAGGCTAGTTCTGCATGTGCTGTGTGAGTTATGACAAAATCCTGTTTATCTACAACAAACTTGTGACAAAAAAGAACTTATGCTTGCAGGTGGTGGGAGTGTGTTGCATTGCCTGAAGATGTTGATTCCAGTGAAGAAGAATTGTTTAGACAGCAAATAAGGGATCTG